TATTTATTATCGAGAAGATTGTGATCGAAGATATGTTTCTGTGTGTCCAGGTGTGAAAAAAACAGATTATAGTCCTCTAAAAGGAGTTAGTTCAATTAAAGAAATATTAATTGGAGCTGAGAAAAAAGAATTTGAGGCAGTCGATTTCCAAGAATGTAATGATTTAAATATTAGATTAGAGGAAGGCTCTCCTTTCCAAATTGTTGATGGAATGCTTGTAAAAGACAATGAAATATTTTATTATAGGGTGTCCAAAGGTGTGTTTAGCACAAACCTGAATACTGCGAATAGAAATAAACAAGTTACATATATATAAAGTTTATTTAAATATAATCACCATTGGATTCAATCACGCGTTCGCAGCGATCGATCCAGGCTTGAAAGACACGCTTTAAATCATCATGAGAAAATTGCTCAAATTGCTCTCTTACAAAATTTTCAAGATCATCTGGACTCGCGAATTCGCGTCCTTCAGCTCTCTTTTTTAGCGTGCCGAATAAATAAAAGTCAGAGGGTGCAATATCAGGTGAATAAATTGGGTTTGGAACAACTTTGACATTGTTTTCCACCAAGTAATTCATTACCTTATGACTTTTGTGAACTCTTGAATTATCAAAATGAATTGCAAACTTTTGTTTTTGTTGTTTGGATTTCTCAAACTCATCAGAATTGATAATTTGAGTAAGAACATTGTCAATTAGATACTGAGCATTCATCGTATTAGGTTTTTGAAGAATATCAATTGCGATGATGCCATTCACGCCCCAAAAAACCGACAACATCATCATTGGTGTGTCAATTTTTTTCTTCGGGAATGTTTGCGGATTTTCATCCTTCGGGATCCACATGATTTTGGCTTCTGTTGCATATTGAAACCAAGACTCGTCCCCTGTTACTAAAAAGCGAAACTTCTTGGATTGATACGCACCCAATATAGAGAGGAGCTTTTTCGAAGATTGGACTCTAGATTTTTTTTGAACTGAATTAAGGTTGTGCGGAACCCAACGTGTATACGCTAGTTTGTAGTTCAAATAATTGTGCAGATAATAACTGACTGTTGTACGTGGTATCTTTGTCATCTCCTCTATCCTTCTGAGTGATGCTCTTGGGTCTTCATCTAGCGCTTGAAGAATTGCTTTGATTTTTCTTTGATCCGGCGATTTTTTGTCAATTTTTATGATGGGCGCCTTTTTGTTCATGAAGTGATACATCCTAACATGATACGTTACAGTGGAATAGCTAGGAGCATCCATACCGAAGCATTTTACCAATGTCTCGTAGATTTTTTTACAGTCTTTGCATTTTTTTGCAAGAGCGAGGATGTTTTCTTTATGATTCATTAAAAAAATGAAAAAAATCCCGCCAAAATTTCCCGCGAAACCGCCTCTTGTCTCAAAATTCATTTTATATCCCGGCATGGCGCCAAAATACAACATACTCATCATATACATATATTCATATTTTTTATTATATATTTATAATCAGCATATATCTCCTTTAATAGTCTCATATAGAGCGCTGTGCTAAACGCACCTTTGGACACCCTATATTTAATTGAGCTACATAAAGTTACTTCTGTTAAACTTTCACACTTATAGAATGCATGATCTCCGATCTCATCAATTGTTGAATCTTTCAGGAATACAACTTTTTTTAATTTTTTACAAACAGAAAATCTTGGGATTGATGATGCGCTAATTGTCAATTCTGTAATGAATGTATTTTCTAAAGGGGAAAATCTATCGTAAGGATTTTCAATGATCAAATGGTCATTCCAAATATTAATATCAATTAATGGACATAGTTCAAATAAACATACTCCAACAGTCATTTGATGGTCTCCCCAACCAATAATTGTTTTCAGTCTCGGACAGTTAAAGAAACTATTTCTATCTATATATTTACACAAAGAAAGATTTACAGTTTTGATTTCTGGAAGATCACCAACATATGTAATGTATTTTATATTGTCTGGTAATTTATTTAGATTTGGAAAACCTGCAATTTTAACATTAAAACTATCTATAGGATTATCAGGAATTATTATTTCTGAAACATTAAAATTGTAAAGATTAATATAGGGTGTCCAAAGGTGCGTTTAGCACAGCGCTCTATATGAGACTATTAAAGGAGATATATGCTGATTATAAATATATAATAAAAAATATGAATATATGTATATGATGAGTATGTTGTATTTTGGCGCCATGCCGGGATATAAAATGAATTTTGAGACAAGAGGCGGTTTCGCGGGAAATTTTGGCGGGATTTTTTTCATTTTTTTAATGAATCATAAAGAAAACATCCTCGCTCTTGCAAAAAAATGCAAAGACTGTAAAAAAATCTACGAGACATTGGTAAAATGCTTCGGTATGGATGCTCCTAGCTATTCCACTGTAACGTATCATGTTAGGATGTATCACTTCATGAACAAAAAGGCGCCCATCATAAAAATTGACAAAAAATCGCCGGATCAAAGAAAAATCAAAGCAATTCTTCAAGCGCTAGATGAAGACCCAAGAGCATCACTCAGAAGGATAGAGGAGATGACAAAGATACCACGTACAACAGTCAGTTATTATCTGCACAATTATTTGAACTACAAACTAGCGTATACACGTTGGGTTCCGCACAACCTTAATTCAGTTCAAAAAAAATCTAGAGTCCAATCTTCGAAAAAGCTCCTCTCTATATTGGGTGCGTATCAATCCAAGAAGTTTCGCTTTTTAGTAACAGGGGACGAGTCTTGGTTTCAATATGCAACAGAAGCCAAAATCATGTGGATCCCGAAGGATGAAAATCCGCAAACATTCCGAAGAAAAAAATTGACACACCAATGATGATGTTGTCGGTTTTTTGGGGCGTGAATGGCATCATCGCAATTGATATTCTTCAAAACCTAATACGATGAATGCTCAGTATCTAATTGACAATGTTCTTACTCAAATTATCAATTCTGATGAGTTTGAGAAATCCAAACAACAAAAACAAAAGTTTGCAATTCATTTTGATAATTCAAGAGTTCACAAAAGTCATAAGGTAATGAATTACTTGGTGGAAAACAATGTCAAAGTTGTTCCAAACCCAATTTATTCACCTGATATTGCACCCTCTGACTTTTATTTATTCGGCACGCTAAAAAAGAGAGCTGAAGGACGCGAATTCGCGAGTCCAGATGATCTTGAAAATTTTGTAAGAGAGCAATTTGAGCAATTTTCTCATGATGATTTAAAGCGTGTCTTTCAAGCCTGGATCGATCGCTGCGAACGCGTGATTGAATCCATAAAAATGGTATGATTTTTCAAGATATATGCTCTTACTTAATTTATAAGTTGGTTCATATTCTCCTTCTTTTGCATACCTATTAACATTATTATAATCACTAATATGCATTGAACAATCTTCCATTGAACTATATATAAATGCTGGAGATTTCACACATAATTTAATATTTTTAATACCTTGATCAAAGAATTGAAAATCTGATATTTCTGGATTTACAACAGCTTGATAATATCTTGAGTACTGCATTGCTTGATTACTAATTAATTTTACACTACTAGGAATTTCAAACGAACTTTTATTTGTCCATAAAATGAACATCAAACCACCTGTTTTGTTCATGAAACAATCATTTTCAACATAATACATCGGATGTCCTCCTTCACTAAACTTAAATTCGATATGATTTTTATTACTAAAACTTGTGTAATTAATATTTATCAAGGAATTAGGAATATAAAGTTCTCTAATTCCAACATTATAGAATGTACAATCTCCTATTTTTCGAATCTTTTCGTTAAACTTCAAATTTGTTAGAGCTGTACAGTTTGAAAACGCGAAATCTTCTATCATAATGAGATTTTCAGGACAAATGAATTCAGTATTATTTGAATCCATAAATGCTTCCTTATGAATAATCTTCAATTTATCTCCTAAATGCAAGTTTAGTTTTCCAAGACCACCTTGTTTGAAACATTTTGGTGAAATTTTATGCAATCGAGATAAGTCAACATCAACGAGAGAAAAGCATTGTTGGAAACAAGAATAATCAACAATTTCTAATTCATTGTTGAAATCAAGTTTTTGTAAACTATAACAACCATAGAAGCAATGAGAATCTAAACGACTAATAACAACATTATCAGGTAATTTAATTGATGTTAAATTAGTGCAAAATGCAAAACACCCTTCTGGAAAATAGTTTGTATTCATCTTCATTTCAATTGTTTTGACACTTGTGCAGTAAGCAAATAATCCATCTTTCAGATTAATGTTTGGATTCGTTATTATCTTTTCCAAGTTATTTGAATATGAAAATGCATATATATTGATATTCTTAACAAAATCAGGAATTGTAAACTCTTTGCTTTCCAAACCTGCAGGATATGCATATAAAGTTTCTTTGTTCGTTGTGTAAATAACTTTATCTATTGAAACAAAATATGAATTATCTTCAAGAACAATTTCTTTCAAGTGTAGATTATTGAAATTTAATGGTAAAAATCTATTGACACCTGAAGTAAAAGTCACTTTTTCGAGATATGGTGTATAACAACGACTTTCCTCATAATAATCTAATTCATGCATAAAATCATAAGTTATATCCGTTTTCACTATTATTTCTTTGATTTTTGATCAATAGAAAGCATCAACACCTAGATTCATAATATTCGTGAAATCTAGATATGAAATGTTAGTGTTTGCGAAAGCATACGAAGAAATAGTAGTAATTGTACTACATAACTGAACATCTGTTAATATTATACAGTTAGAAAATGTTGAAGAATCTATTGTAGTCATTCCAGAACTTTCGAGAAAAACAACCTTTTCTAAATAGAAGCAGTTATAAAATCTTGGAAGTGAACTCGAATCTACAGTTAATTCTCTTATATATGTGTTTGAAAGAGGATAATGTACATCTGCATTTCCATGAAACTTTAAATTTGTGTTCCATAGATTAATTTCAATCAATGGACATAGTTCAAATAAATTGGCTTCTAGATCCATTTCATGATCTCCCCATCCAATGATTTTTTAAGTTTCGGGCAATTAAAGAAACTATTTCTGTAAATTCGTTTGCAATGAGTAAGATCAACTGATTCAATCTCTGGAAGATCGCCAGCATATCTAACATAATCAATACCATTTGGTAAGTTTTTAAGTTTTGGACAACCAGCAATATCAATTTGACAGCTAAAATCAGGATCATCAGGAGTGATAATTTCTTCAATATTCATATTACGTAAAGCAATAGAGTATGTATCACGTGTGAATTCAATTGTTTTCAGGTTTTGATAATAAATTAATCCATCGTATTTGCCTCCGTTAAAGTATGGACTACTACTATAAATGATAAGTTTCTTAATGGGGAGTTTTGAAAAGGCATCATTACGCATTGCATTACTGTTTATTTCAAGTTCTTCAATGGCCGTAGATATAAGTGCTGTACTATGGATTTCCCATGTATCTTTGAAATCATATTTAAAAATTTTAAGTGAAGTACAGTTACAAAATGAATATTCACCAAAACTATTGCATTTTGAAATGAAAGTTGTTAATTTAAAACAATTACAAAATGCATAACTAGGTAATATCATAAAATCTGTTGAAAGATTTACTTCAATTAAAGAAGTATTAGCAAAACATGAACTATCAAGTGATTGAATTTTTTGTAAATCGGCTGATTGTAGATTAATACAGTCACAAAATGCAGATTCTCCGATTGAATTAACGTTTTCAAGATTAATTTGAGAAATTGACGAACCATAAAATGGTATATTAGCTATGGTTGTAATACTTTGGGATAACTTAACGTTTTTTATATTTTGATTTTTCATAAAAGCTTCTTCTGGAATAGAATTTATTTGCTCTGAAACAATTTCGAGAGAATTTATACTATGTAATCCTTCAAATATCGGAAAAGACTGCATTGTGTCACCAATAATCAGCTTTGTAAAGTCTTCCGATTTAATTCTGGATGAGATTATTTCTAGATCATCATTATTTTGAATTGTTATTGATTTCTCTGTTTCCATATTATATTTGATTGCTTTATCTATCAGCGAGTACAGTACAATTTGATTTAACATCAAGTCTTCCGAAGCAAAAATATTTGAAAGAAGCTTTCAAAAATTCAATTCGATCGGTATTGTTATCTATTATATAATAAATAACATAACAATGATTTTGAAAAAAGATACTTTAATATTTGAATTGAGAATAATCGTATTATTTAAAACTAAATTCAATTTGTTCAATTCAAATTTTTTTCTCATTGAAATCATAAATTTCGATTCCAATATATTTGAAGATCAAATGAATCAAAATTTTGGTGGGAAAAATTGAATGAGAGTGTCATGCGAAAATTTTGCAAATTACCTCAGACTTTTCAGAGGATTGAGTGGCAACTCAATCCTCTGAAATAGTCTGTGGTAATTTTTAGTCTCTACACTATTTCAATATAAGCTCCATTTTTAAACAGTTTTTAAAAATCGAGCATTGAAAAGTGTGATGAGACTTTTTAATTTTTTAAAGTACTAATTAGAAGTATAATTAAAGCAATACGATGTGAATCCACTCAGTAGTTAAAAATTTTAGAGCTATCGGCACAATTCGATCCATATTTAATATAAAAATCCGATTTTAATTATAAATTGCTAACAAAAAAATTGTAAAAATCTGAACTTTCAATATTCAATGCTTACAAAAGATGATTGAGATTGATTTTGGAATAATTCGTCCAATCATAATTTGCTTAACAATATGTCTTTCTTCCATTTTTTTAATTAACTATTCAAATTTTCTAAGTGATTTTTTTGTAATAAATTTATATAAATAACGAAAATTAATATTTTATTAAGCCTGTGCTTCGATTTTGTAAAGTATTCAAAATTTATCCTTACAATTACATTTCTTAAAAAATGCTTTCATCCTTTATTTTTAAATCTTTTCTTCATAAAAACGTAATTTTTAACAACGAAGTCATTACATCTGGTACCAAAATGACCTTAAATGATCCAGCTGACTTTGAAAATCAAGATGTTCTACTTAATCAAATGAAAAGCGCGAACGTTGACACAATTAGACTTGAAGGATCATCAATATACGATTTTCCAACTTTTGTTGGCATTAAAATGGTGAAAACTCTTGAATGCCATTTGAGGTGCGAAATTCCTGATTTTTATTTTTATAAAAACCAGAATATTAGAACAGTATATCTAGGAGAAAATATAATTTCTATAGGAAATTCGGCATTTTCATACTCAACATTAGAATTTATTAATTTTTCTGAATCTACATCCATCATGGAATATGCATTTGCAAATTGTACTAACTTGGATATTTCAACTATATATAAACTAGACAAAGGTTGTTTTCAGCACACAAACTTAAAACATATTACAATTCAAGTCGGAAGTTCTTTTTATGAAGCAGATGGAGGAACAGGTATTCCACCTTTTGCATTCTATGAGTGTTATAATCTAGAAACAGTAACAATAAATGTTAATATTGTTTCAATAGGAAATAGTGCATTTCTTGATTGTTTTAGTCTAAGAGAAGTCATTTTGCCGAATGGTAATGAAATAAGAAAAGTTTTTTCATTTGCATTTGAAAATTGTCCATTAGAATCAATCAACCTTGAACAAGCCATGTTTTTGGGTAATGCAGCATTTCGAAATACAAAATTAAAGAAAGTTGTTTTGAATGATGCAGTTCTTGAAGATCACGTTTTTGCATATTGTGAAGATCTTAGAGAAGTTGTTATTGTAGAAAATTTAAGAACAACAACTATGAGATTAGGTATATTCGATATAAGACCATCACAAGAATTCTTCATGGTATGCCAATCATTAGAAACTGTAGATTTAGGTCGTCAATGGTCAACATGTAAAGGAATGTTCAGAAACTGTTTCAATCTCAAAGAAATAAAGTCATCAAATTCTGAATTAGTTGTAGGTTTTGAATCATTTTTCTCTTGTTTGAGTTTAACAAGTATAACAATAAGTATACATACAATCGAAGAAGGTGGATTTATGTTTTGTAAATCATTAACAACTGTAGATACTACAAATATCGCTTCAATTGGAATTCGCGCTTTTTATGGATGCGAAAAATTAACAAATATTTCGCCGCATGTTCTAGGAGATAGTTATGCATTTGCATATTGTACTTCTTTAGTTAGTTGTACCGTTCAAGTATCTGCAGGTACTGGATTATTAATGAATTGTACAAAACTTGAATCAGTTACATTACAAGGAATTCAGTATATTCCAGATAAAATGTTTTTTGGTTGTACTAGTTTGAAAACAGTTGTTTTCTCAGATATCATCAAGACAATAGGTCATTATGCATTTATGGACACAAAACTTGAAATATCAAATTTAGATCTAAGTGAGGCAACAGAAATTGGAAATTATTCACTAAAAGGTGCTAAGATTGATCAAATCAAATTAGGAAAGGATTATGTTTATTTTAGAGAAGATTGTGATCGAAGATATGTTTCTGTGTGTCCAGGTGTGAAAACAAATAATTATAGTCCTCTAAAAGGAGTTAGTTCAGTTAAAGAAATATTAATTGGAGCTGAGAAAACAGAATTTGAGGCAGCCGATTTCCAAGAATGTAATGATTTAAATATTAAATTAGAGGAAGGTTCTCCTTTCCAAATTGTTGATGGAATGCTTGTAAAAGACAGTGAAATATTTTATTATATTCCTTACCAAGCAACAAGGAAAACTCTAACAATTCCAGGTCCATCATCAAAGAAAATATTATCAAGTACAATTACAAAGATTCATCCATACGCATTCACAACATCAAAGTTAGAAGAAGTAGTAATAAATAGTTAAATTGAAATTATGGAGAAAGCATTCTATGGATGCAAAACTCTTAAATCAATCACATTTAATTTTAATCAACAAAAATCATTAGATATTAGCATCTTTGAAAATTGCATCTCATTGACAACTGTTACTTTATGTCCATCATTTAGTGAACTTGGCGATAGTTCATTCCGAGGTTGTACTTCATTAGAAACAATTACAATTCCAGAAGGTACACAACGATTAGGCAGATATTGTTTTGCAGAATGCACTAAATTGAAGGATATAAAATTCCCATCGAATCGTCTCTATATAAAAGACTATTGCTTTTCTAAATGTACAAGCTTAACAAACCTTGATCTTTCAAACGAAATGGATTTTGGAGAATTCGTTTTCGAATCATCATCTTTGGTATCAGTTAAAATGAATCCTACAAATTTGGGATACGGCATATTTAATAACTGCTATAAGTTGGAAAAAGTAGAATTAATTAACAGTGATAATTGGTATACTATTGGAGAATATTGTTTTAACTCTACTAGTATAACTCAAATCCGTTTACCGCCAAATGTTTACCATCTTTATAAATATTGTTTCGCATTTACAAAAATTAAGAAATTCTTTATACCTAAAGCTCTAACTGAAATACATCCTCAGGCATTTTATGGTATTGATGATATTGAATTAGAATTAGATTGTGATCATCCTAAATTTATTTTAGGAGCTCATGAACTTATCGATAAAGATACAAGAACTTTGGTATTGACATATGGAAAATTATTATCAACATATATTGTTCCTTCAAGGATATTAAGTATTGGTGCCAATGCAATTAATTCATATCCTAAATATAATGAAACAACAGGGAAAGTTATAGATTTTGGAGTTACAACTTTAGTAATTAGAACAAATGTTTATTTTGAAGCTTCATATAATTCAGACTACTCTGTAAACACAAACTTGCCAATATTTAATGCACCATATTTACACAATCTTTGTTATGGTGGAACTGTTAGAGCAGATGGTACGAATATTCCTCGAGTTTTTGTTTCTGAAAATTATGCTAGATCGATTTGGAATCAAAATCCAAGGAAAGAAGTTATAGTTGGTGAATGTGATTCATCTGTTCCATTTGAGAATTATGCAAAATTTGATTATACATATCCAAAGAATCCAAAGTATAAGCAACTTCCAAAACAAATACTTCCACAAGAAACTAAAGATTGTGCATTAATTGATGATCCTTATGAAATTCCAGAAGTTGAACCAGAAATAAGTCCAGAAGAAAATCCATCAGATCAAACAAATACAATGTCATCAGAGACAAATAATTCAGATCAAAATTCTGAACTAATTAATATTGACGAAATAAAGCCAGAAGGTAACAAATCATTATTAACATACGTTTTGCTTGCAGTTGCAGCGGCAGAAATTTTGTTGATTGCGGGAATGATAGCGTTCTTAATTCTTAAGAATAAAGAAGATAGTTCAGATGAGAGTGTTGTTGAAATGTCAGAGGAGGCGATAACAAACGTAGTAACAGATGTTTCTACAGAGATAACATTTTCAAATCCGCTGTTTTCAATGAATACATCTATTGAAGAAGACCCATTTGCGAATGACTTTGAAGAGGGACACAAGAATGATGAAGGATATTTCAACAAATGTTTAATTGATGCAGAATAAAAATATCTATCTGTTTTTTAATGAAATTCGTTTTTTAACATTTTTCAAAATAATCTCACTCAAGAATGAATATTATATATTCAGAGATTGAAATATTCATTAAGGGTGCACATACACCTCCAATTCAGATGTTTAAGGTTAATTTTCAATGACGCTTCACCCCAGTTGTCGAAATTTTGAATAAAAGTCAGATGAGTGTATGCACAGCCATAAAATGTTTCTTCCCCAATTATCACAATTGACAATCGGCATGTTTAATATGTGCAGTAATTTAGAAAAAATAGAATTCATTGATAACGAAATTTATATGAATTTGGATTGCCTCCAATGTTAAAAGAATCGAAGAATTTGCATTTTCATACACTAAAATAAAGAAAATTATTATTAATAAAAAATTAATAGATATTAGCTCTCATGCATGGGATTTTTTTTAAGATTTTTCCAAAAATTAAATTTGATAGATATAGTTTATTTTGCACGATCTATTAAATGGTCCGCTTAATTTTGAGTTTTGATCAAGATTGAAAAAATATAAACACATCAACAAGTATGATGCTATGTTGGAATAAAACATATTTAATGTATATTCTAATTGATTTTTGAAGTTAAGACTATATAAGTTTAAATGTCATAAAAGTGTTAGGTGTTTTATGTATCATGACTAATGAACAATTAATAAAGGATGCAAAGAATTCTTTTGAAAAATAATGATATGGATAGTTTAAAGATTTTTTTAAAAATGTTAATGCGATGAATAAAAATAAAGTTATAATTCAATAAGTTATTGCTTAATTAATTTATATGCTATCAATTTAAAAATGTTACGAAACGCTGCTGAATAAATAATAAATGTTTATTCATGAGTTACTTTCAATGCAGTTATTAAAAGAATAATAATTAATACAGATAAAAATGCAACAAATACTAATAATACTACATGGAAAAGAGAATAAACCCTTAAGTTTTCCAAAAATGGAAGAGATTGATTAGCATAGTAATACCATGTATTATCTGTTATGTATTCTTCGATATACTTGAAGGATTCCTCAAGATATAAGCTATTACTCAATTTATATGTTGGTTCATATTCTCCTTCTTTTTCGTATCTATCAATATTATTTTCATCACTGATTTCCAATATGCAATTATCTGGTTCATTGCTAGACGATGGTGGTTTCACGCAAATTTTACTATTGTACATGTCAATATATTCATTAGATTTAATTCTTAGAAGTTCGCTATCTGATATATCAGGATTTACGATAAATCGATAGAAATTTGAAGATTTAATGGCTTCATTACTAATTATTTTCACATTTTGAGGTATTTCAAAAACAGATCCTTTCTTCCAAAGTACAAACATCAAGCCTCCAGTCTTATTCATAAAACAATCATTTTCAACATAATAAATTGGATGCCCTCCTTCACTAAATTTAAATTCGATGTGGGTTGAATTACAAAAACTTGTTGAGTTAATATACTCGATTGAGTCAGGAATATATAGTTCTCTAATTCCAACATTGTAGAATGAATATCCTTCTAGCCTTTGTATGTTTTCATTGAACTTAAAGTTTATAAGTTCTGTACAATTTGAAAACGCAAATTCATCTATAATAAACAAATTTTCAGGACAAATAAATTCTGTTATTTTTGTATCCATAAATGCTTCCTTATTCATAATTTTCATATTTGATCCCATGTGTAAATTTAATTGACTTTGTAGATTTCCTTTAAAGCAACTCTTAGGAATACTATATAATTGTGATAAATTAACTTCTACAAGTGATTGACAATCTTGGAAGCAACTCTCTTCAACAATTTCTAATTCATTTTTGAAATCAAGTCTTTGTAAGCTAATGCATCCATGGAAACAATGTGAATCTAGCATAGTAATAGCTGCATTTTCATGTATTTTAATTGATGTCAAATTAGTACAAAATGCAAAACATCCTTTTGACAATACATTCGTTTTGAAATTGATAACAACTGTTTTAACACTTGTGCAATATGCAAACGTTGATTCTGTTAGCACCATATTGGAATTAATTATTATTTTCTCCAAATTATTTGTAAATGCAAAAGCATTATGATTAACGTTTCTCACGAAATCAGGAATTATAAATTCTTTTGCTTCTAAACCTCCAGGATATGCATAAAGTGTTTGCTTGTCAGCAGTGTAAATAACTTTATCAATTGACTTAAAATTGGAATTATCTACAAGTACGTATTCTTTTAAATTTGGACTATTGAAATACAATGTATTGAAAATAGTTACTTCACTCTTAAATGTCACTTTTTCTAACTTGGGTAAATAAACATTTCTTTCAATATATTCTAGCACAATAGGATCATCTGTTGTCTCAAAGAAATATAATACTTTTTGAACATTTTTATTAATTATTATTTCTTTTAGTGGTGTACCATAAAATGCTGAAATATCTAATTCCTGAATATTTGTTAAGTCTAAATAAGAAATATTTGTATTCTTAAAGGCATTAGCTGCAATGGTAGTAATTGAACTGCATAATTCAACTTCTGTTAAGCTTTCACAATCATAAAATGCGTCATATTCTATTCTTGTAATTCCGGACCCTTCAATGTATTTAACCTTTTTTAACGTTTTACAGCCTCTGAAAATTGGTGGATAACTTGCATTAATGTTTATTTCTTTAATTTGAGAAAATTGAAGAGGTGAAAACTGTTCATTAATGATATCTCTAACTTCATACGATAAGTTCTCATTCCATATATTTATATCAACCAATGGAGAAAACTGAAATAGGCCTGGGCCTAAAAACATTGCATGGTCTCCCCAACCAATAATTCTTTTCAGTTTTGGGCAATTGAAGAAACTATTTCTGTAGATTATTGTACAAAATGTGAGATCAACTGTTTCAATTTCAGGCATATCTCCAACATAAAAGACTGTATTAATTCCATTTGGTAAGTTTTTAAGCTTAGGAAGACCAGCAATTTTTATTGAGCATCTAAAATTAGGATCATTTGGAATGATTATCTGTTCAATATTCATATTTGAAAAACAGATTAATTCTGAATCATGTGTGAATTCAATTGTTGTTAAATTTGGAAAATTTTGTCCATCAGTAATAGTATAGTACTCCAAGTTATAATAGAAATATTCATCTAATATTGGGCTGTATATAGTTAATTTCTTAATAGATAATTTAGAAAGTGCTTTGTTATTGAATAATTGGAAATTTATTGCTATCTCTTCAATAGCGGCTGACATAAAAACTGTTTCTGGGAACTGATTACTTTCCCTAAAATTATATTTAAATACTTTCAGTGATGTACAGTTACAAAATGCATATTCACCAAAACTATTGCAATTTGAAACGAAAGATGCCAAATTAAAGCAATTACAAAATGCATAACTAGGTATCGTTGTACATTCAGATGGAAGATTTATCTCAATTATAGAAGTATTGGCAAAACATGAACTACTTAGTGATCGAATATTAGCTAAATTAACTGATTGTAAATTAATGCAATTGCAAAATGCTTCTGTATCAATTTTATTAACATTTTCAAGATTAATCTGAGAAACTGAAGAACCAAAAATGCTTTATATGATATCGTTTTAATACTTGCAGAGAGAATAATACTTTCGATGTTTTGATTATTTGAAAATGTTTCACTAGGAATTGATTGTATTCGAGTTGATAGTATTTCAATGTATTTGGTACAATACATTCCTTCCACTATTGGCATTGATTGGAACGAAGTGCCAATAACAAGTTTTGTAAAACCTTCAGATTTAATTTGTGAAATTTTTGTCTCGAAATTATCACCATCTTCAATAGTTATTGATTTTATGTCTTCTGCACTATATCTCAATGTTCTATTTAATAGAGAGTTTAGTAAAATCCTATGAATCATTACCTAAAAAAATTGAATTGAATAAAATTTAGTGTATTCAAAATCCAATTTTTGAATTAAAAATTAAAAATGAAATTTAGAAAGGAAATTAAAGGTATTTTTCATGAAAAATTTGAATTACAATTGAAAAAGTGAAATAAATAAGTGAATGTTATTGAATATAATCTATTTAGTAATATAAACAAAATTAATTTGAAAATAACAGGTTTGAAATTGAATTAGAAATAATAGAATTTTAAAAATTGTTAGCAATTTGGACAGAGCTTGCCTCCATTCAAATTGCAAACTATTTCTTTAATCTTTTGCAAATTCATGAACGTTAAAAGTTCTGAAAATTTGAATGCTTGCAAATTATTTAACATTTGAAAGGCTCGAATATTAAAAGTTTTGAAAGATTTGAATGATATGACCACGATGTGTAAATTAAGAAAACAATATAAATTTCCTGAAACTTATCACTATAGATTTTTTTTTCAAAGTCTAAGTTAAGTTTTTCAGAGATTGTCATTGAAAAGTAAAAAAAAGAAAAATCAATCCGGTTAATACCATAATCATTAATTAAACCTCAATGAAAATAAAATATTGCATTCAATGATTTTAGAAATTCTGAAAAATTGAATACACAAATTTTATGAATAGTTTACAATTCATAATTTTTTCGAAAATTTAATTACTGGTAAATCATTAATTAATGAATCTTTTTCATCATTCTCACAAAACATTGAAATTTTATATCATTCAAAAATACATTTTGAATATATAAAAATCGATAAATAGATTTTTGAAGTGAATAGATTGTTAGTTTTATGTAAGAAAAATATCATCAATCAAACTGTCCAAGGGTAATAAAAATTCATTTTAAAAAAATGGTCTCAAAATAAAATATTTTAATTTTCTCATATTCAAATTTTAAGTATTTTTAACGTTCTTAAATTTGCTGACCATTAAATAAATTCATGTTTTTATTTGATTTTTGAAGTTCAATTTTGAATTTTACTTCAAATTTTGTGCAAGATTTCAATTCTATCTATAACCGTTATTTTTGAGAGATCAAAGAATTAAGTTTGATAAAATTTCTGGTGCAAGCTGATTTGAATAGAATGTCAATCATACTTTCAAAAACTCAGCTTTTTTTTGAATACATTTCTACTACTTTTGAATACAATGTTTTCACGCCTTTTTATTAGATCTTTAATAGCAAAATATGTCATAGTTCACAACCAAGTTACTGTTCAAGGTACTAAAATGACTTTTGATGATCCTTCCGATTTCCAAAATCATGAAGATCTTCTAAGTAGAATGAATAACGAAAATATTGATACAATAAAACTTGAAGGATCAAGCATACACGATTTACCAGATTTCATTGGCATTCAAAGGGTCAAAACTTTTGAATGTGATTTATCTTGCAATATTTCACAGTCTTATTTTTATCAAAATCAAATAATTAAAACAGTTTTGCTTGGGGCAAATATTCAAACTATAGAAGAAAGTGCATTTGCATATTCATCACTAGAATATATCGAATTTTCGGAAACAACATCTGTTAAAAGTTATGCTTTCGCGTATTGTACTCGTTTAAATATATCCAACGTTTACCAATTAGAAAATTCTTGTTTTCGTAATACGAATTTAAAAAGCATAACAATAACTAGTGAGGATCATTGTATACCAGATAATGCTTTTCGTGAGTGTTATAACTTAGAATCAGTTACTATCAATATTTATCGTTTCTATATAAATCAAAATGCATTTAAAGATTGCTTTAAACTCAAAGAAATCATCATTCAAGAAGGTTGCCGATTAACAGAAGTTTATGAATTTTCATTTGAAAATTGTGCATTAGAATCAATCGACTTTAGCTCAATTACATATATTGGGTATGCTGCATTTAGAAATACTAAATTTAAGAAAGTTGTTTTGAATTCTGCAACTCTTAAAGATCATGTTTTTGCTCATTGTAAATTTCTTAGAGAAGTAATTATCCAAGGCGATTTAAGGGCAGGTATAATGTCAACAAAGTCGGGTAGCGTAAGAGATGCCAGAGAATTCTTTATTTCTTGTCAATCACTAGAAATAGTTGATTTAGGTCAACAAAAATCTGTCATTGAAGGAATGTTTAAGAATTGTTTCAATCTAAAAGAAATTAAATCATCAAATCCAGATCTGAAAATAGGTTTAGAATCATTCTTCTCATGTTGGAGTTTAACAAAAATTACAACAAATATATTGGAGATTGGTGAGGGTGCTTTCATGTTCTGCAAATCTTTGGAAACTATTGATATTACAAATGTTGCAAAAATTGAATCACGTGCATTTTATGGTTGTGAAAAATTGAAGAATATTTTACCTCATGTTCAAGGAGAAGATTACGCATTTGCGTTTTGTAGTTCATTAGTTGACTGTAATGTTCAAATACATGCTGGAATAGGTTTATTGATGAATTGTACAAGTCTTGAATCAGTTACACTTCATGGAGTTCAGTATATTCCAGATAAAATGTTCTTTGGTTGTACAAAACTGAAAACAGTTGTATGGCCAGATATCCTTAAAGGAATTGGTAATTATGCATTTATGGACACAATTCTAGAAATACCAAATTTCGACTTTCCTAATCTTGAAGAAATAGGCCAATATTCCCTTCGAGGTTTAAAAATTGAAAAGATAAAATTCACAAATGACTATATTTATTATCGAAAAGAATGTAACTTAAGGTATTATTCAATTTGTCCAGCAGTTGCACAAACAGATAAAAGTCCATTCAAAGACATTACATCAATCAAAGAAATCATATTAGGAATAAATGTTACAGAATTCAAAGCATTTGATTTCCTACAATCTTATGATATTAAAATCACAATAGAAAATTCTCACCTGCATATTAATGATGGAGTGCTTCTAAATGGCACAGAAATATTATATTATATTCCAGGGTCATCAACAAGGAAAACATATACAATTCCAAGTACAATTACAAAGATTCATCCATATGCATTCACAACATCAAAATTAGAAGAAGTAGTAATAAATAGTTACATCAATATCATGGGGAAAGCATTTTGTGGATGCAAATCTCTTAAATCAATCACATTTAATTTCGATCAACAAAAAAATTCATTAGATACTAGTATTTTTGAAAATTGCATCTCATTGACAACTGTTAATTTATGTCCATCATTCAAACAACTTGGTGATTATTCATTTAGAGGTTGTACTTCATTAGAAACAATTACAATTCCAGATGGTACGCAAACATTAGGCAGATATTGCTTTGCAGAATGTAGTTCATTGAAGAATATAAATTTCCCCTCAAATCGTCTCCTATTGAATAGTTATTGTTTTTATAAATGTTCAAGCTTAACTCATCTAGATTTATCAAAAAATCTTCAATTTTCTAGTAACGTTTTTGAGTCTTCATCATTGAAGTCAATTAAAATTAGTGTTTCAAATTTAAACGAGGGAATCTTTAATATGTGTAGTAAGCTACAAAAAGTAGAATTAACTGACATTGAAGGACACAATAGAATTAGATCGTATTGCTTTAATTCCACAAATATATCTGAAATCAATTTGCCACCATCTATTGAAGAAATTGATGATTATAGTTTTGCTTTCACTAAAATTAAGAAATTCTTTATTCCAAAAACGCTAACAGAAATACATCCTCAGGCATTTTATGGTATTGATGATATTGAATTAGAATTAGATTGTGATCATCCAAAATTCATATTGGGTGCTCATGAACTTATCGATAAAGAAACAAACACATTATTAATGACATATGGAAAATTGTTATCAACATATATTGTTCCATCAAGAGTAAGAAGCATTGCTAGAAACGCAATAAATTCATTTCCAAAATATAATGAAACATCAAGAAAAGTTATAGATTTCGGATTAACTACATTAGTAATCAGAACAAAATTAAATAATGATCCATATGAAAATCTGGTTTATAATGCTCCATATTTACATAATCTTTGCTACGGAGGAAATGTTAAAATAAATGGTTTCGATAATATTCCAAGGATTTTTGTTTCAGATAGTTATGTCAGAAGAATTTGGAATCAAGTACCACTTAAAGTACCTATAAGAGGTGAATGTGATTCATCAGTTCCATTTGAAAACTATGCAAAATATGATTACACTTATCCAAAGAATCCAAAGTATATTCAACCTCCTGAACAAATTCTTCCACAAGAATCTAAAAAATGTGCATTAATTGATGATCCATATGAAATTCCTAAAGTTGAACCAGAAATAAGTCCAGAAGAAAATTCACCAGATCCAACAAAACAAGAAAATACGATATCATCAGAAACTAATAATTTAACACAAATTACCCATCTAAATAATAATGATGAAACTGAGCCAGATCAAGGTAAAAATACATTATTAACATTTATTCTTCTAGCGATTGCAGTGGTAGAGCTTTTGATGGTTGCAGGATTGATTGTATTTTTGATGTATAAAAATAAAGAAGATAGTTCAGAACAGAGTTTTGTTGAAATGTCAGAACATGTTATCGCAAATCACTCTACCGAGGTTTCATATATAAACCCACTTTTCTCAATGAACACAACTATTGAAGATGATCCATTTGCAAGTGACTTTGAAGATCATGCAAATAATGATGAAGGTCATTTTAACGATTGTATATGCGATGATGAATAAAAATAACATTTAGATTTCCTAAATTTTCAGTAATTGATATAAAATGTTAGTATGAATTTTTTTAATAAATTAAATATTCATTAAGGAGTCACTTTCAAAGCGATTATCGAGAGGATAATAATTATTACAGATAAGAATGAAACAAAAACTAATAAAACAACATGAAAAGCAGAATAAATTCTTATATTTTCTAAAAATGGAAGAGATTGATTATCATTATAATATCGCGTTGTGTCGGTTATATATTCTTGAATATGCAAGAAGGAATCTCCAAGATATAAACTATTGCTCAATTTATAAGTTGGTTCATAATCTCCTTCTTTTGCATATCTTCCTGTATTATTTTCATGACTAATTTCCATAAGGCAATTATCTGTATCAGTGTTGTATGATGGTGGCTTCACACAGATTTTTCCATAATGATTGTTATAATTGTTATAATAATAATTATAATTATTGTAATTATGTAACTTTAGAAATTCTCTGTCTGATATATCAGAATTTATAACATATCGATGGTAATTGGAATACTCTATCGCATCGTTACTGATTATTGGGGTATTTCAAATATACCGTCCTTTCTCCAAAGCACAAACATCAATCCACCAGTTTTGTTCATAAAACAATCATTTTCAATATAATAAATTGGATGCCCGTCTTCACTAATTTTAAATTTGATTTGGGTTGAATTACAGAAACTTGTTGAGTTAATGTAAACCATTGAGTTAGGAATATATAATTCACTAATTCCAACATTGTAGAATGTACATTCTCCTAAACTTCGTATTTTTTCATTAAACCTAAAGTTTATAAGATCTGTACAGTTTGAAAATGCAAAGGCTTTTATAAAAATCAAATTTTCTGGACATATAAATTCTGTAATTTTTGTATCCAAAATACCTCATCAATGACGTTCAGGTTTGTACCTAATCCGCCGTTAGATCAACAGGCATCTACAATGTTCCAAGAGTTTTTGTTTCAGATAATTATGCTAGATCAATTTGGAATCAAGTACCAAGAATTATAGCAATCAAAGATGAATGTGATTCATCAGTTCCATTTGAGAATTATGCAAAATATGATTATACTTATCCAAAGAATCCAAAGTATATTCAGCTTCCTGAGCAAATTCTTCCACAAGAAGCTAAAAAGTGTGCATTGATTGATGATCCATATGAAATTCCTAAAGTTGAACCAGAAATAAGTCCAGAAGAAAATTCACAAGATCAAACAGTTTCACAGAGTTCATCACAATCTGGAAACTCTGCATCTTCAGAGACTAATAATTCAGCACAAGTTACTGAACTAATCAATATTGATGAAATAAAACCTAGTCAAACTAAAAACACAATGTTAACATACATCCTTCTTGCAATTGCAGCAGCAGAAGTTTTGATGGTTGCAAGATTGATTGCATTCTTGATTCATAAGAATAGAGAAGATAGTTCAGAAGAGAGTTTCGTTGAAATGTCAGAACATGTTATCACAAATCTCTCTACCGAGATTACATTTACAAACCCACTTTTCTCAATGAACACAACTATTGAAGATGATCCATTTGCAAGTGACTTTGAAGAACATGCAAATAATGACGAAGGTTATTTCGATAACTGTTTATGCGATGATGAATAAAGATTATTTCAATAACAATGCAAACAGTTTGACAAAAATTTTGATTATTTTTAAACAGCAAATGCATTTGCAACCATTGAATGAAAAATTGTAAACCATGGAATGAATGTTTATTCAATAGGCACATTTAATGCGTTAGGTGTAATTTAACTGAAAAATTATTTCAAATTATAATGATTATTTAATAAATCATTCTCATTGCAATGTGAGTAATGCCAGTTAACATAAATTTGAAATAATGTCATATGTTAACTTGAAATTTTATTCATGAGTAATTTTCAAGGAAATAATAGAGAGAATAAGTATAATCACTGTCAATATGGAGATAAAAACTAAAAGAATTACATGAATAGAAGAATATGTTCTATAGTTTTCTAAAAAAGGAAGAGATTGATTTGCATAATCATAGACGGTTGAACTTGTTATTTGTTCATCAATATGAAAATACGATTCACCAATGTATAAACTATTGCTCAATTTATAAGTTGGTTCATATTTTCCTTCTTTGGCATATCTGTCAATATTATTTTCATCGCTAATATCCATCCTGCAATCTTCAATTGAGTATGTAATATATGAAGGCGACTTTATACATATATTTGAAATGTATCTAACATCGAAAAATTCACTGTCTGAAATATCTGAATTTATTATTAACTTGCTGATTGGTAAATCTAAGATTCCATCTCTTCCAATTACTTTTACTTTTGAGGGTAACTCGAATAAACTTCCTCTTTTCCAAAGAATAAACATCAAACCACCCGTCTTGTTCATAAAACAATCATTTCTACATAATATATAGGATGCCCTTCTGAGCTAAACTTAAATTCAATGTGACTTGATTTTTGAAAAACTGGTCGTATTAATGTCAATTAATGAATTTGGAATGTATAATTCAGTTATTCCAACATTATAAAATGAACAATAGCATATCTTCCTGATTTTTTCATTGAATATGAAATTGATAAGAGAAGTGCAATTAGAGAAAGCATATTCATCAATAATTATCAGGTTTTTCTGGGCAAATGAATTCAACAATTTGTGAATCCATATACGCTTCCCTATTAATCATATTTAAATTAGTTCCCAAATGCAAATTTATATTGCTTTGCCCACACTTTTTGAAGCAAGATATTGGGATTTTATGCAATCTTGATAGATCAACTTCTATTAGTGATGAACATTCTTGAAAACAATTTGTTCCAACAATTTCTAGTTGATTATTGAATTCAAGTTTTTGGAGACTAAAGCATCCGAGAAAACAGTGAGATTCTAAACGATAAATAATGGACCTTTCAGGTAGTTTAATTGATGTTAAATTTGTGCAGTATGCAAAACAGCCTTGGGGAAAATATGTAGCATTTAGATTAATTTCTATTGTTTTCACACTTGTGCAATATGCAAACATACCTTCTTTCAGTATTATATTTGAATTAACAATTATTTTTTCCAAATAATTTGAATAAGAAAATGCATAAAAGTTAATATATTTCACAAAATCTGGAATTGTCAATTCCTTGGCTTCCAAACTTGCCGGATAGGCATATAAAGTTTCTAAATTTGCTGTGATTTCTTTCATTGTATTCAAGTAAAACAACATCTGTTGGCCAATAATAATCAGGCCTGCTTTGAAAAATATTATTATTGATTATTATTTCCTTAAGAGGTGTATTATAAAACGCTGTGAGAGCAATTTGCCTAACATTGGTTAAGTCCAAATTTGAAATGTTTGTATTAGCAAATGCATAAGGGGAAATACTTTCAATTGAATTACACAACTGTACATCTGTCAAGCTTTCGCAATTTTCAAATGCATGATAATCAATTTCCCTAATCCCACAGCCCTCTATGAAAACTACTTTTTTCAGCTGTTTGCATCCATAGAAAGTTGGTATTTTGCTGGAGTTAATTGTTAATTCTTTAATATAAGAATATTGAAGAGGTGAATACTTATCTGAAAACATAGTTACTCCATAAAACTTTAAATTATTGTTCCATATGTTTATATCAATCATTGGACATAATTCGAATAAACTTGGTTCAACAGTCATTTCGTGATCTCCCCATCCAATAATTCTTTTAAGTTTTGGACAGTTAAAGAAGCTATTTCTGTAAATTCGTTTGCAAAATGAAAGATCAACTGATTCTACTTCTGGCAAATCTCCAACATTTTTAACATATTCAATTCCATTTGGTAAATTTTTGAGTTTTGGACAGCCAGCAATATTAATAGTACACCTAAAATTCGGATCAACAGGAGTAATGATTTCTTCAATATTATAGTTTATCAAGTATATATATTTTGAATCACTTGTGATTTCAATTGTTTTAAGATTTGGAAAATTAAGAATACCATCCATATTTGAACCATAAAAGTATTCATCTTGATTAAACACAATTAATTTCTTAAGTGGTAATGTTGAAAAGGCAGAACTAGACATAGCTAAACTACGAAGAGTAATTTCTTCTATAGCTGTAAACAATAATGATGTATCATGAAAGCTCCATGTTTCTCTGAAGTTATATTTAAATATAGGGTGTCCAAAGGTGCGTTTAGCACAGCGCTCTATATGAGACTATTAAAGGAGATATATGCTGATTATAAATATATAATAAAAAATATGAATATATGTATATGATGAGTAAGTTGTATTTTGGCGCCATGCCGGGATATAAAATGAATTTTGAGACAAGAGGCGGTTTCGCGGGAAATTTTGGCGGGATTTTTTTCATTTTTTTAATGAATCATAAAGAAAACATCCTCGCTCTTGCAAAAAAATGCAAAGACTGTAAAAAATCTACGAGACATTGGTAAAATGCTTCGGTATGGATGCTCCTAGCTATTCCACTGTAACGTATCATGTTAGGATGTATCACTTCATGAACAAAAAGGCGCCCATCATAAAAATTGACAAAAAATCGCCGGATCAAAGAAAAATCAAAGCAATTCTTCAAGCGCTAGATGAAGACCCAAGAGCATCACTCAGAAGGATAGAGGAGATGACAAAGATACCACGTACAACAGTCAGTTATTATCTGCACAATTATTTGAACTACAAACTAGCGTATACACGTTGGGTTCCGCACAACCTTAATTCAGTTCAAAAAAATCTAGAGTCCAATCTTCGAAAGAGCTCCTCTCTATATTGCGTGCGTATCAATCCAAGAAGTTTCGCTTTTTAGTAATAGGGGACGAGTCTTGGTTTCAATATGCAACAGAAGCCAAAATCATGTGGATCCCGAAGGATGAAAATCCGCAAACATTCCCGAAGAAAAAAATTGACACACCAATGATTATGTTGTCGGTTTTTTGGGGCGTGAATGGCATCATCGCAATTGATATTCTTCAAAAACCTAATACGATGAATGCTCAGTATCTAATTGACAATGTTCTTACTCAAATTATCAATTCTGATGAGTTTGAGAAATCCAAACAACAAAAACAAAAGTTTGCAATTCATTTTGATAATTCAAGAGTTCACAAAAGTCATAAGGTAATGAATTACTTGTTGGAAAACAATGTCAAAGTTGTTCCAAACCCAATTTATTCACCTGATATTGCACCCTCTGACTTTTATTTATTCGGCACGCTAAAAAAGAGAGCTGAAGGACGCGAATTCGCGAGTCCAGATGATCTTGAAAATTTTGTAAGAGAGTAATTTGAGCAATTTTCTCATGATGATTTAAAGCGTGTCTTTGAAGCCTGGATCGATCGCTGCGAACGCGTGATTGAATCCAATGGTGATTATATTTAAATAAACTTTATATATATGTAACTTGTTTATTTCTATTCGCAGTATTCAGGTTTGTGCTAAACACACCTTTGGACACCCTATACTTTAAGAGAAGTACAGTTACAAAATGAATATTCTCCAAAACCAGCGCAACTTGAAACAAAAGATGTTAAACTAATGCAGTTATAAAATTCATATTGAGGTACGTATCTAAAGTCAGTCGGAAGATTTATTTCTATCAAAGAAGTATTGGAAAAACATGAATTATTGAGGAATTGAATACTGTTTAAATTGACCGATTGTAAATTGATACAGTTACAAAATGCTTCTGTTTCAATTGTATTAACATTTTCAAGATTAATCTGAGAAATTGAAGAACTGAAAAAAGCTCTGTTAGATATAGTTTTAATGCTTGATGAGAGAATAACACTCTCGATGTTTTGATTATTTGAAAAAGTTTCCTCGGGAATTGAATCTATTTGAGTTGATAGTATTTCCAGATATTTAGTGCAATATAATCCTTCCATTGTTGGCATTGATTGGAATGAAGTACCAATAACAAGTTTTGTAATTCCTTCAGATTTAATTTGTGAAATTTTTGCTTCTAAATTGTCACCAGCTTCAATTGTTATTGATTTTGGAGCTTCCATATTATAATTTATTGGGTAATTTAACAAAGAATTCCATATGATACCATTTAACATGTTGAAATTTATCACAGAAAAATTGAATTCAAAAGTTAATATTTAAAAATGGTTGAATTTTGCATTTATGCTAACTATAGAAAGATGTGTAGTTTACACGATTAAAAAAAATCAATTCAAATGAAATGAACGCTGCATAAAAATGATAAAATTAATGTGTTTAATAAATTGTATGCATAATAATCATTAGCAAAATAACCTTAAAAGAAGATTTTACACAATCATTGGCAAATCGCTGACAAATATAATCATATAAAATGGCTTATATTCTAGTTGGTTAAAGTGTATTTCAAATTAAATTCCTAAAATGCCATTTCAAATCTGGTTTTTTATTTTTCAGAAAATTCAATTAATTCAAAATTAAATAGCTTGACATTTAAACTAGTGAGGGATATTTTATAATTGTTTTAATCTTTTAGGATTTATTAACGATAAATTTAAAATCATTTTTTGATAGAATTATTTTTTGAATTTTGATTAAATTTTAGTAGGAATATTTTAAGCCTTATAATGTTAAACTTTTTTTGTAAACTTATCAAATTATCATAGTACTTTAAACCAAATATCAATGCTTTCATCCATTATTATCAAGTCATTAATCACCAAACATGTTATTACTAACGATCAAATTACTATTCAAGGTACTAAAATGATTTTCGATAACCCAAATGATTTTCAAGATGAAGAAAATCTCTTAACTCAAATGAAAAGTGCAAACATTGATACAATACGACTTGAAGGATCATCAATAAACAATATGCCAACTTTCATTGGTATCCAAATGGTTAAAACTTTTGAATGCGAAACATCATGTAGCATTCCTCAGAAATATTTCTATCAGAATCAAAATATTAGAAATGTTTTTCTAGGAAAAAATGTTGGAGCTATATACAATTATGCATTTGCCTATTCCTCCTTAGAATTTATTGATTATTCTGAAACAACATATATTACCGATGGAGCTTTTGCTAATTGTACACATTTAGATATTTCCAAAGTACACAAACTAAGTTATGCCTGTTTTTATCACACAAATTTGAAAAATATAACGATAACGGTTGGTGGATCTGTTTCGATAAACTATGTTTGGTATACAGCTATAAATCACTATGCATTTTGTGAATGCTATAATTTAGAATCTATTACTATCAATATTTCATCATTTATTATTGGTACAAATGCATTTCAGGATTGCTTCAAACTCAAAGAAATTATAATTCCTGACAATTGCGAAATAACTAAAATTTATGCATATGCATTTGAAAATTGCCCATTAGAATCTATTAATCTTAAAAATGCAAAATATTTGGGTGACTGTGCTTTTAGGAATACAAAACTAAAGCAAGTCACCTTAAATAAAGCATCTCTTGGAGATCATGTTTTTGCCCATTGCGATGATCTTATTGAGGTGAATATTATTGACAATTTGGATTCAACGTCTATATTTGAAGGCTATAGTTCTTCGAGAAGTTCAAAGGAATTTTTTATTGCATGTCAATCCCTCGAATCTGTTGATTTGGGTTTACAAAAATACACGCATATTGGAATGTTTAAGAATTGTTTCAATCTAAAAGAAATTAAATCATCAAATCCAGATCTGAAAATAGGTTTAGAATCTTTCTTCTCATGTTTGAGTTTAACAAAAATTACAACAAATATATCTGAAATAGGAGAGAATGCTTCATGTTCTGCAAATCTTTGGAAACTATTGATATCACAAATGTTGTAAAAATTAAATCACGTGCATTTTATGGATGCGAAAAATTGAAGAATATTTGGCCACAAGTTCAAGGAGAAGATTACGCATTTGCGTTTTGTAGTTCATTAGTTGACTGTAATGTTCAAATACATGCTGGAATAGGTTTATTGATGAATTGTACAAGTCTTGAATCAGTTACACTTCATGGAGTTCAGTATATTCCAGATAAAATGTTCTTTGGTTGTTCCAAACTGAAAACAGTTGTATGGCCAGATATTCTTAAAGGAATAGGAAATTATGCATTTTACGGAACCAGTCTTGAAGTTCCATTTTTGGATCTCTCTGATACTGTGGAAATAGGCAATTTTTCATTTAAAGGAACAAAAATTGAAAAAATAAAATTTGGCAGCGATTACGTTTATTATCGTAAAGAATGTAGTAAAACATATTATTCAGTGTGTCCAGGTGTTAGTGTGACTAATGAAATACCATTTATTGGGGTATCAACAATAAAAGAAATCACTCTGGGTATAAATGTGACAGAATTCAAAGCTATCAATTTTCAAGATTCTTATGATATCAACATTAAATTAGATGAGGGATCTGGTTTCCAAATTGTTGACGGAATGCTTATGAAAGACAATGAAATATTATATTATATTCCTGGTCAATCAACAAGGAAAACTATCACAATTACAGGTCCATCATCAAAGAAAACATTATCAAGCTCAATTACAAAAATTCATCCATACGCATTCACAACATCAAAATTAGAAGAAGTAGTAATAAATAGTTACATTGAAATCATGGAGAAAGCATTCTATGGATGCAAATCTCTTAAATCAATCACATTTAATTTTAATCAACCACAAAAATCATTAGATGCTAGTATTTTTGAAAATTGCATCTCATTGACAACTGTTAATTTATGTCCATCATTCAAAGAACTTGGTGAAAGTTCATTCAGAGGTTGTACTTCATTAGAAACAATTACAATTCCAGAAGGTACAGAACGTATAGGCAGTTATTGCTTTGCAGAATGTAGTAAATTGAAGAATATAAACTTTCCATCGAATCATCTATATGTTGGTGACTATTGCTTCTCAAATTGTCAAAGCTTAACAAATCTTGATCTTATCAATAATCTTGAGTTTGGATCATTTGTTTTTAATTCATCATCACTGATTTCAGTTAAAATTAATGCATCCAATATATATAAAGGAATGTTTAATATGTGTGATAAGTTACAAAAGGTAGATATCCTTGGAGATGAAGGAGATAATTATATTGGATCATATTTCTTT